GGTGAACTGCAAAGTACTTTGATGAAAATTGCGGCCTTAATTGTAAAAAAATTCTAAATTACTTGATTTCTTGTTCAAAGCAATGTGTACACTGTGTAACAGGCACTCCAGAGGTCATATGACCACCACCCTGAATAGCAAAATAATCCTAAATGAGCTTAATGTGAACGCAGCGACAACTCACCGTGCCTGTCATGTGCTGAGATCACTGCGCTGTACTCTTTTATCATGTCTGGACCTGGGCGGGGGACTGGGGGCATCACTACGGGATCGGTCTTCATGGATTTATTAGTTCCATATGGTTATACCTGAAATTAAAATAATTTTGTAATTATAATACGTTTCCTGTTGTGTTAGTATATGTGCACTGGAAGCCTCAGCACACAAACAAATTCCTTATGTGTGCAAGCACACTAGATTAATAAAGCTCTTTCTGATTCAGATTCAAAGTAATAGCAGTGATTTGAAGACTGTGTGCCTCGCACGTGCCGTGACCCATCATGTCTGGACCTGAAGGTGTGCCTCGAACAATCTCTGTGCAGGACCTGATGGTAATCGAACACTGGACTAGTAACATTTTAAACTTGGCCAAACATTTATGAATATAACATGCCATGTTCCAGTTCTCTTTGGCGTTTTCACCACTGTCTTACTCTCAAAGTCATCCGTAAACACAGACGTTAATACCAAATTAGTTTAGTTTTACTGTTTATTTGACTGGGGCCTGATCAAAAGAAAAGAGGATGAGATCACAACACGTAACGTTACCTTGTTTAGGTGTTTTTTCTCCTATCAGGGAAGGGTACCTCACTCCTTACAGCACCTGAGAGACAAAACAAATGCGTTAACAAACATCACAAACAGATGGAGTTAAAGATTTCACTCCATCACACAACAGCGTTGCAGTTTTACAAACAAGGATAGCATACACTAGAGCATACAAGCACATTACGAACTTTGAGTTTGTATGATCCTGGCACATATAATTTCTGACGATATTCAGAGTAGCACGCATTGGGAAAAGCCCGTTGAACACCCAATACGATTTAGTTTTACTAGCAAAGAATGGTAGCTACCTAGCAGCCAGATAACAACGTGCAAAATACAATTTAGTGTCAAGAATTAAGAGCAGCAAGCTAACGCAAAACAAAAAAACTGTGCCGTTAAGGTTAACGCCCTTGAACATTCGCGGCAGTAATCACAGCAGGTTTGTGAAGTTTAAGACAATAACGCTAAACTACCAAACACAAGCATAAGTAGACATGGACATAGAATTCACTAGATTGGACGAACTTACCTTCAATTTAGAGGAGATGGGTTCACCAGTGATCATGACGGCGATGTAGGCTGAATATCTGTGCCGTTATTTTCTGCTTGAAAAACCAACCATGTGAAAAACACGCTGAATCGCGCCGCTCGCGCCACATGGCTCGCATGTTGCCTCGGCCTATCAGAGTGGCTGGCTTTACAGGTTGGGTTATGATGATATGTTGCCTCAGCCAATCAGAGTGACGTTCACTGGATTTCGACTGTGGTTGAAATCAAAGCTCTTGATAGAGTTGTCCGACCTCGGCTGTCCATGACTTTTCTGTTGCTGTTAGTTCTTTTTAAATTAGGAATAAGGTGGATAGACCTAATATAGGCTACCATGAAATGAAAAATACAAATACAGGGTGTGCATAAATAAATAACTTGATTAGGCTACTTAAAATAAATAAACCAGTAAAAAAAAAAAAAACCCAAAAAAAACCATCTGGTTATAACTGTGAATTAACATCCAAAGATGTTATCATATAATTTGAAAACTGCTTCTGTAAATATTATGATGAATCCTATAATTTTATTAGGTAAATTTCATATTCATAAGAGTAAAATGAATAATTCTAAACCTTGTTTGAAGTTTTTTTTTTTTTTTGGTCTGATTTTCAGTTGTATATTGAGTCTCTCTATCGATAAAAAATGTAGTGATACAATTGTATTTACTAAAGAATATTGAAGCTAATTGAAAAGTGAATTAATGTGTATGCTATTTTCTTTCTTTAAGTAGTACAAATTACTGGTTTCTAGCTTTCTCTTAAATCATTATATTATACATAATAGATAGTCCTTTTCCCCTTTTTATTTTATTTTTTCAATTCTGTCCTATTTTTATTTTTTCTTATTCATTTATAGTGAAATTATTATTTGTTGATTGTTATCTTTTTGGATATCATGCTATTGTTGTAATTGTTGTTTATTATGTGTAATGTAAAAAAAAAAAAAAAAAAAAAACACTGTGAGCCTGATCTATTTCTACCAGAGATTGTCCTAGAATGAGGTATATCTTTCAGAAAAATGTTACCTGGGGTGAAACTCCCCTACCCTTATTTGCATGTGTATAGCTCACAGCATTTTCATTTACATGTCAAAGCCTCCTCTAGATTTAGGAAAAGGGGGGTCATGGGGGGACAACTGGCAAGCAAGGCCTACGTCAATTTCCGGCAATTCACGGCAGTTTTGGGTGTTGCCTGTAAATTGCCGTGTGCAGTCGTAAACCTGAACTTCCACGACAATCTACAGTGCCGCTTACTGACGAAAATCCCACTTTTCATGCAGTGAGATATTGTCCTTTAGTACTCTTGAACCGAGTATGTTTGGGTGATGGCCATCCCGTTGAAACAGTTGTCTCTGACTCCAGAAAAGATTGAAGTTGTCTATGAAGTTTACTCCTTTTTTTATATTGCAGGTTTTTTGCAGCCATGTGTTGAGCCCAAGCAACCGAGAAAACCTGTGTGTTCCTCTTGCTGGGAGTGGTCCACTGATGAATGTCTGAACTTTCAGTCTTTTAAGTGTTTCAAAAAGTTCATTGAAATCCTTCTTAAGGAGTTCTGACTGCTCTTTATGAATATCGTTCTTCCCCACATGAATGATGAGTCGATTTGCAGTCTTATGTTTCACCAGAATGTTCTGAAGTTCCCTGTTTACATCAGAAGTTGTTGCTTGTGGAAGGCAGCATGTAGTTGAATCCCTGCTACTAATGTTTCTGATTATGGAGTCGCCCACTATCAGAGTCCCGGGCCCCGCTGTGCTCTGAGCTGTGTGCCGCTGTCTGCTCGACCTTGAGCGCCAGTTAGCATCAGTGTTAACGATCGGCTGGCCCAGTCTTTGATCGATCACATTCATCAAATTCAGGGATTTCTCATTCATTAATACTTCAAATCTGTTCTCAATATTTATAGGCGGTGGTAGAAGACCAGTGTTTGCAATCCTTGTCAGAGCCGTATCTGGGGTAGAAGATGCTATTGCAGCAATATGTGATGCTTGTGAAAATCTGATGTCTCGAGTGCCTTTGGGTCTCGCGCCCTGTTTGTGCCATCGATTTGTGAGTCGATCGGCTCGTTTCTCTACACTCAGTACTGCCTGTCGAGTAGCAATAGATTTCTGGGACTCACCGGCTGTATGCTGAGGGCGTCCATGATGAAGCTCTGTTGTGTGTTCCGTCTGGTGTGGTGTTCCCGCAAGTAACTTTGTTTTAATAATTGCAATCCTTTGTAAAAGTCTCTGACAGTTAGTGCAGCAAGTAAATTCCAGAAGAGGCATTTTCTCTTATCCTTTGGAATGTAGGCAGTTGTGTTTTTCCTTCCCCGGAATGTAAGCTTTCAGTGGGAGGCTGGTCGGAGAAAAGAATTCTGCTTTTTTGAAGTAATCAAACGTTTGAGCACTGTACTGGTTTGCTGAAGTTAGAATTAAGTGATAAAAAGGAGATAAAATAAAATAATATAAAAACGATAGAGCGATTTAAAATTATAAAAGCGATAGAGCAAAGCGCGGAGCGGTAAGCAAGAGCATCCGAACAGTAGCTGAGCAGGTAGCTGAGCAGGAAGTATTTAGCCTTTTTTCTATTGGCTCCCTCAATCCCTCAACTTTTCTATAGATATAACTGTCAGGCCCACTGGAGCCTCATCAATAGAGACGCATGCGCTGAACACCTCTGGAGTAAACTGACCCTGGATCAGAACCGGCTCTGGAGCTGCTATGGCTACTTATGAGAGAGATAGCTATGGGAGAGATAGATCACGAATTTAATGACTTTTATAGGCGATTTGATACACACGATTTTAATGAAATTAATAGGGATTTTTATTTTAGTTTGGAAACAGAGGAATATCTGCACATTGATAAAGCCTCTGTTTTGAGGATTTTACAAACCACCCAAAAAAATAAAAGCCCAGGGGCCTCATTTATAAAACTGTGCGTATCCTTACTAAAAGTGTGCGTGCGCCCGAAAGCCAAAAATGTCGTATGCAAAAAAATATTCAGACTTATAAAACCGTGTGTACGCCAGAACCTGCGCAGACTTCACTTTATAAATCCCAGTCAGTGGAAGATTGTGCGCACATGCGTCTCCTCCCCGAAATAACCAAATATGGAGATTACAACGCCTAGTTTTATTATGCATATCCTCATCTGCATATCATTTGCATATGATTATTCATCCACATGATAACATGTTTAACCGTACAAGACATTAGGAAAATATGAAATACGAGTGCCGTCACATTATTAAAAAAAATCATTTAGTAGCCCATCCTTCTTTTGTTTTTTAAATAAATAAAAATAAATTAGTGCAAAATGCATTTCAGAGATAGTTTTTCTCAATCTTTTCCACTGGCCAAATAGTATTTTAATTGATTTATATTTTTAATGGAAACAGATAGACCTTGTTGTGCATTATTTGCACGAAACAATTTTCTCAGACAATCTGCTATCATGATAAGCAATTATCTATGTAGTTAATACATTAAAACACAGACAGCATGCCAGAGGAAAAGTGTTCAAAAGCATCACATCCACAACAAATATTTATATTTATTGAATATAAAAATGTTGTAACTTCTCAGTAATGATATCATGTAGTGTTTAACACCATTGTAGGGACTTTGCCAGGCGACTCGACCCTCCCCCGAAACTTACACACACGCACACATTCACTCACTTACATCAGTGGCATCGAGTTACAAGACTCTTATGACACCAATGGAATGTGTGGCCGAACGAATGTCTCTGAACAAAGAGAAATACATTTCTGATGTTTTAAAGACTTTTAACAAAGGTATTCAAGGGTTTTATGTATGTGTGTTCTTCCCCATGTCACAGTGAAATAACTTTGTTTGGTCACAGCGTAAATAGAAAGTAGAAATACCTTCTTCATGCATTTTAAACATAAATGTATAGTCCTTTAATATAACATAATGTTCCTTGATATCTCTAGAATGCTTATGAATGAAACATTCGAATATGCATAGAGATGTAAAGTAAAATGTTTTGCCGACAATGAAGATTAAACGGTTTTACTATTAACCTCCGTGAACACACCCCCTTCCATGAGGAGCGCGCACTGAGGAACAAAGGACAATAAACCAAGAGTTCTCGCGCGCAACGTCCATCTCCCCGATTGGCTCAAGCCAACAGGAAGGGGATGGATTTTGCCAAGGGGATAAAGGTAGCGCGCAGGCTCCGCCTCTGCCCTTCTTACATTCTGACCTTCTCAGAGAAACATGTAAGGCTAGCAATCTCCTCACAGAGATCTGATCCGACCATGGATCTTTTCTTTTGTTCGTCTAAGAGTTTCGTCTTTTCCTCAAGTGGACTACCAAGTTCGCCTCCCAGGAAAGGAAGTGAACTTTGCCGAACTATTTCCTCCGGTAACGTCACCTCAAAGACTTTAAGCATTTCAAACACTCGCGCTGAATGCCAACGAGCGCCACGTGATTCCCCACGGAACAAAGGAGCCACGCGCAAGCGACCAACCATGTACGCGCCGGGACGGGCCGTGCAAAAACGCTGCGGCTGCGCTCCACGTGACGCACGCACGCAGGACAACACCTCCAGTCGACACGCGGCCCGAACGGGCTGAGCGACGAGTACGCGACTCACACAGACCAAATATGCTCTGCAAGTATACCTTCTGTAAAAAGGGCCACAAAATCGACCCAAATCGCGGAATTCGATTTGTGGTGAAGGTTTCAAGCGTGTTCCGTCTTTTCCATAGCAAAGTGATTTTTAGTTAAATGCAATACATTTAATCTTATGTATTAACTCGTTTCATCTGACTCCATAAAATGAAAAGGGTTTATCAATGATATCTGTGCATCTTTTAATACATTAATGCTTGACTATTCCTTTAACTCTAATGAAAATAAAGTCAAAGTCTGTTAGAATAGTCATAACAATTTATTATGTCAGGTAAATGTATCATTACAGTTCCATAAGATAATCAGAGCAAACCATTAGATGTTTCAAAGAACTTTACCCAACATATTACATGAATGCCGAGCCTCGAAGACCCAGCATCATGGGCTGATCTGATTCAGAATAGCAGCCCTGAACTCTTGTGCATTTTCCTTAAATAGAGCCAAACCTTACCTGATCTAATCACCAAATTTACCTGATCCAATCACCAAACTACAATGGACTGAAACCCCCACCATGTTTACTGGGGGAAGGAGAGTTTGCATTCAGACAAAAGGTAGAAAGCGATTAACTCAAAGGCACACCCTTTTGTGTGCAAGATATTTCTATATTCTTAAAAACCTTATTACCTTTTCTTTAACTTCTTTGGAAATGAGACATTATTACCAGTCACCCTGAGACTTTTGAAATGATTCTAAACAGTCCTTAAAGATTATCACATTCACA